TGTAAAAAAAGACCTTCCAAAAATCGTTTAGCAAGAGTCGATAATCATAGAGCCTTAAACCAATCCAACTAATTTGCATAAAAAGATAATTCGGGAACCAGTATACCTCACCACCAACTCATTTGTGAAACAATGCTAGCTGAAAAGGAACAAAGAAAGAAAAGGTGGGAGGAAGACTAAAGAATAGGGATGTTAACCGATCAAACCCGAACCCGAATAACCTGGAAATCGAAATAATTGGAGGAGCCAAAACTCGGACCGATTAACCTAATACGGGTTCGATTCGATTCGAGTATTAATTGGTCCGGGTCGGTTATTACCCGAATAACATTCACAATATAATTAACGATATAATATAACTGAAAAAAACCAAATAAACCGTATTATGATTATCCCGAATAACATTTACAATATGATTATAAACACTGTATTTTCTATTACTTTTGTAGCTTATGATTCCATAACAAAACTTTTAAAGAAACAAATTTGTTGATTAAAATTTATTGTAAACAAGAATTAACTATTTTTTAGATAGAATGTAAAATCCAAACACCAAAATCTTGAGATGTAGTTATGATGTAACATCCCAAAAACACAATCTGAAAATTTCGTTTATGTTAATAATAAAAACCATAGTCGATAAACCTCATATAAAAATCATAAGCAATGTATCTCAAAATATTATAACAATTTTCAAGTATATCAGAGTATAAACATCACAGGCTGAACAAATAGTGTGTGCACTGCAATCTTCCAGAGCTGCTCTTTTGAAAACTGAGTACCTGAAACCAAAACTGAAACTGTAACTACGAAGCTTAATGAGCTCCCTCAAACTACCACATACCATACAATAACACATAAACAACTATTGTGCCTTGCCCACTGCATCGGACCGAAGTTCTTAACCAAATTCCTGGTGATTTGGCATAGTTTATTCTAAGAGTGTTGAGTGGTCTTGAAAGTGGCAGCTCAATGTCACTGTCACTGACTTGTAAAGTCAATATAAAATCAACCAAAAATCATTAGAATAGTATATATATATATATATATATATATATATATATATATATATATATATATATATATATATATATATATATGGAAAGGTAAAATATGGGAATTTATCAACATAATTTTATCAGAATTCAATAATGGGTGGAAAGATAATTAAACAGGTCCTGATAAGAACATAAAAACCAAAGAGAAGACAAAGGAAGATGTACATGAGTCTTATTAGAGTAAAACACCAAAGCACAAGCTCAATAATATTATAATGATTGTATAGGTTCTATGAAGGGAAAGGATCCATCAATCTCCCGTTAATTAAGTTCCAAGTATAAGGAGATGAGTTACACTAACTCTCTTATTATGTAGGCATTACTTTTTCATGTTGTTGTTCACGGATACCCTAATCCGGAGTGAACAAGGTAAGGAAGAATGTGGTTTGTCCTCTAGTGAGGCAAGTTCCACTTTTATCTCTTATTCTCTAACTAGGGAGTAAGGGGTAATTCCACTCTTATCTCTTATTCCCTAACTAGGGAGTAAGGGGTAGTTCCCAGAAAAGGGAACAATGTTATGATTGGTACCAACAATATATGTTAAGAATGTTTATGTCTATGTCCTATGTTTCATGTTATATGTATGCTATGTGTAAGTAATTGATCTATATAATTTTTGAGTAATGTATATGATCATTAAGCGTTATGCTTACTCATTGTTATTGAACTTTTTTCAGGATCTTCAGTTTTTAATAAAGGAAAGAGATCAGTGTGACTATAGACAACATTCTCATGAAAATTTATGAACTACTAAATTATGTTTTAAAGCTACGATGTTTTTTGCTTCCGTAATGTTTTTAGAAATATTATTTTATAAAAGTGGTTAAATGTTTTGAAGACTTTAATTATGTTTCTAAAAGGGTAAGGATTCGCTTCACTTTATTTTATATTGTTTTATTTATTTAAAAAAAAAATAGGTCGTTGTTGAAGCCATTAGAGTTAAGTGCAAAATATTAGAGTTAACTGCAAAATCAAACATATTTTACAAACTTCAAGAATTATAAGTATATAACTGCTTTAATCATGGATTTGAAATGCTTACGAGTAGAACAACTCACAACTTTCTTTCTGTTTGAGCAACATTGCCAGCAGTCTACATCTAATCTTATTCAAATACCCGGATTTCATGATGAATCCTCCAATCAGCCCATGATTTTCTCAATAGAATGTACCATTTACTGTGAGAGAGTTGATGTTGGAATGAGAGTCTAACGTCTTAAAGTTGTTACAGTAAACCCTCTTGCAACTGGTTAATTGCAATAAATGCAAAAAAATAAGACGTGGTATAAACGAACCAGAATCCCGTCAAAAAGTAAAATCATGAATTTCATACAAACTTAGAGTATACGGTATGGGTCACAACGAGAAACGAATTGGCTGAGTTGGCACACGAAAACGGCGTCATGACATAGGGACCACCCCCCCCCCCCCCCTCCCAACTCATTGAAGCTCGTTATGGCACTTCTCGTCTTGTTGCCACATATTGAAACAAGAATAATAACCAATCAAAATCATTTTCGTACCTCTTTCTGTCTGTCTTTTTCTACCTCTTAACAAGTTATAAGATTGGAACACGATTTCCTTTATGGTGTTATGATGGTATTAAAGTTGATGTAAAGATACCCGGTGCTCTTAATAATTTTTATGAAGTAATCCAATCATTTTATTTCCCAGATATAAGGTCTGAAAACATTGTAAAAATCTAAAACTCTGAATATTCAGATTTTTCACATACAAACACCTCCTTAAAATACAGTTCCTTCCGATCAAAATGTAGAGTTAGGTGTTTTGTTTTTTGGAAAAAACCTCTTCAAACCTCTTATTGTTGCGCGGCGCAGCACACGCGCAACACTTTTCATCTCGCAGTTGTTTGTTTTTTAGAAGTCTTCTGAGTCAAAAACCTCTGCGCGTGCTCTGTTTGGCACAACACTTGTACTGCCTCTTCCAACCTCTTCTTCTTCTTCTTTTATTACTGAAATTATGATTATATGTTATTAAAGTTTCATTTCACATTTTTTTTCGTTTATTCTTATTAAAGTTATTTTTCATTTTTTTATATTCAATAATGATAATTTTTTGATGAAATATCATTATTTTTTACTAAAATATCTTTATTTTTTTTGTTGAAATATCATTCTTTTTTACTGAATATCATTAATTTTTACCGAAATGTTATACATTATTAAAGTTTACGTATTAAAAAGCTATTTTTGGTTTATAAAATTAGTTTATTTTAATTTTTTAATATCTGCAGCAGTATGCAGATGTTAAAAAAACAAACACGCTTTTTATTATAGTCTGCAGCCGTTTGATCCACCTCTTCTACTGCAGAGAGTTGCAGAGGTGATCCGTAGCCTTCTTGAATTTTTGCTTCAGAAAATCAAACAACACCTTAAATATTTACTTCAAAATAAAACAATATTTACTTGACGAATGCTAGCAATGAAACCCTAACACAGATCCACTACTTACTTCAATGGCTACTCCACAATTAATCCCACTTTCAACTCTATGCGTAAATATCTTCAAAACCCTAACCCTACCAACCAATTTCATCCTCGTCTCGATCTCCATTGTTGGTCCAACAACTCCAAACTCCATTCCACCATCACCTCCAATTGCTGTCACCGTCGACGGCGACGGTCTCTCCGGAAGCGGAAAAGACTGTACAGAGAACTTCGCCGACATGTGCTGTGTATGGCCTCCGTCGATTTTTCCAGCAGGGATGAAAACAAAACCGAGAGGTGCATTGCCATTGGAGTAGGCGAGCTGAAGCGAACTGTCATAGTGAGTGAAAGCTTCACGGTTAGGGTTGGTGACGGAGACGAATTGGAAGAATGTGAAGTTAACGGTGGCGTTGGAGATGGCGAAGGTGGGGAGCTGGACGGCGTCGACGGCGATCTTGGGAGTCTTTGGTTTGAAGATGAGAAAGTAGACGATGAGTAGAGCAATGCCGATGAAGATCAAGAAGAGCGTGGCTACGAAACATGAAGCTAGAGTGGTGTTCTTGTTTCGTTTGGATCTGTTATGGTTGTGAGGTTCATACATTGCTTCCATCTTATCTATTTCCAGAGAGAGGTCAACAGTAAAATGACAATGGAAGCGAAAAGCTGTAAAAACATATGGGCTGAATTAAAAAGATTCCTATTTATACCAAAACTGGAATTGAGGTTCATATTTTATATATTATTACAATAAAATTCAGCCGTTACGTAACATGTATTAGTTCGTGAATCATGATAGAGGACAAACAATAGTATCTGGTCAAAAGATAAAGGCCAATAAAGTTGCAGATAAAGGGACAAGACAAGCAATGTGGGTATTGTACAAATACACAAAACACTGAGAAACATATATTACCAAAAACTAGCAAATGCAGAACAAGAGTAAAATAGTGAAAACAAAATCCATTTAAAGAAAAAAAAAACATGACAAGTAAATAGACTATTTGTTTGACAAAAAGTCATCACTTCCTCACATCTTACCTTATTAATAGTAATACTTATCACTCTAGGTCATATATCTCTCTTATTTTTTAATTTATTTAAAAAATAACAGTAATTTAACTAAAACGATGAAAACTTTGAAAAAAATCTTGATACAAGATTACATGTATCATCTAACTAAACAATCAAATTCTTTTCATTCATATGGAACGAACCATGATTCCTTGGTACCAAACACCACCTTACATTCGTCATTTCTAAACATTCATAATGTGGAGAATAGTCTATTGTGTTACCTAAAATCAAATCTTCATTAAATTCTTCTTATACCATCATACAATTAACACCAATAAAATGAAAATATGAGTCATAACAGAAAACAGAACATTTAAACACTACAAAGGCCCACCAGTTTATGAAGTAAAAACACTTGACAAATCCACTCTCATACATGCATATGTACCACACCACATGCACAGAGTACTTACTTACAACACCAACACCAACACCAACACCACCATATTTACTTAACACCCAAACGACGATCCATAATCTCAGAAACAGTCTCCATGAACGCAGCTTCACTCGACTCAGGAAGAACACAATCATCTGCTTCTTCAACAATCTCCTCAATCACAGATTTCTTATTCAGATTCCCCCTACACATTATGCTCCCAATCGCAAACGGAGTCAAACCTCTCTCAACACCTTTCTTCAAAAGCATGGTGGAAATCCGAAGCGTTTGAGCACATTCCAATGGTAAATTCCATCCGTAAAAGTTAAGCAAAGCAATATCTTCTTCAGCATCTAACGAGTTTATGTAGTCAATAGTTTCACAACTGAACGGCTTGCGAGCTTGTGGCCAGTATAGCCAATCAAACGTGCAATCTTCAAACTGTAAATTATAATAAACCAAGTCAATTATTTATATATTTATTTAAAAAAAAAAAATGATCAAACGCTTACACTGTGAGGCAAACAGTAACCATGATCAATTGGAATCAAAACAAAGTGTCCATCTTCTCCTTTGGTGACGAGAATATTCCCAGCATGTCTATCAGCATTAGCCATCCTGATATCCAACACTGAGATCTTATGAACCTCTTCAACAGGAAAAGCACCGGGGCCCATATCCTCACAGCTTCCAGAATTCTCCATGAACATCTGTAAAGACCCAATCTTCTCCTTCACACCATCTGGATGATTAAACCCTGCGTGCATACATCTGGCTAATAAAGTCGGTGGGACGCCGGAAAATCCTTTGTGTTCGCCGGAAAACGATCTCCGGCCGCTTTTTGGGTGGTCTAAAAGATAGGCGGCAACTTCACGTAATGCACCTTCACCAACTGTTGTCCCTTTTTTTAAGCCTTCACCATTGACAGATAAAGGTAGTCCTCTAGGGTTATTTACAGCCATTGGCTCCTCATCAATCGGTTTGAATACAGATATGTATTTAGTCCCTGATCCATTCATCATGAAGTAAGCACCACCTGTACCTTCGCTTGACCTTTTTGGGTAATTCCCTTTTACTAAACCTTGATAAGTAGAGTTGACTAAGTCAAAAACAACACAAGGGAGTTCAGCTTTTGGGTTAACGATCACTGGATCCAACCAAAAATCTCTATTCTCTCTAGAAACTATGTCACCACCATTTTTACGTTGTATGTTAGAAGAATCAAACTTTCTTGAATCATTCACCTGTGGTGCATCGATGGCCAGCTCAAAATTCTTCTCTCTAGGTGTGACACGAATCTTTGCAACCTTTTTAACAAACAGATGAATCACACCATCGTTGTTATGCTTGCTGATGTCATGTATAAGTCTCTCATCTTCAAGCTGCTCGCCTTCACACATGATGTCTTCTTCGTTGATATCGATTAATCCTTTCTTTTTCTTCGCGAGTTGTTTTTTCACAAAACCAACATTACGGTTTCTATCGACATGAAATGTGAACTCTTTACCTGAACAGGTTTTGACATTGATTGTTTGAAGATCTGAAAGCTTGACAACTAAATGGATCACGTTTCCATCTGAAACGCCATAGTCTTTGACTGAAGAATCGGGTCTTGCTAACTCTCTGCCACCACAAACTAGCTTCTGATTCTTTACAACGAAGCCTTTGTAGCTTTGAATTCGAAGCTTCACAGACTGGATTGAATCTGACCCCAAAACCCTAATTGGAACGACTGAACCAGACATAGCCAAATGAACAACGATGGGGTCTTCGCTACATAAAGGCCTCGGAGGGAGAATCAGTGTATCGGAAAGTGGGTTGATTGCTAAAACGCCGGATGACGACATTATGTGTCTAAATGAACTAACTTTTTACAAGCCCTAAAAATGTTTGAGAAACTCAAACACTAGAAACAGAAAAAAGAATAAGACGTGAAAACTATAAAGGGATCATCCTGATTGCATCCATGATCGATTCAATTACGAATTACGATCGTCAAACTATACAAACCCTAGAAACGTAAACGCCCTCGAATCAAATTAAACCCAAGGAAATCGATTTTGGGAAATCGAAATCCAGGTTTTATTTAACCAACCGAGAATTGACAAATCGAAAACAAGAATTTACAGAAGTGGTAGAAATAATAACGAACAAGACAGGATGATTATTACCAACTGGATCAAACAGGAACCAAAATGAAAGCGCTACGTGGAGGAGACCATACAACCGATCGATTTTTGGGGGAATTGAGTTTTGACGGGTGATTTTTCGGAGGGGTTTAGGGTTCAAATTCAGCGAGGAGCGTTTATCGACCGAGGTTTGTGACGATGACGAAGGGAAGGGAAGAGATTGTTGAAAGTTGAACGTAGACAAATCAGAAAAGTGTTATACGCGCTTTGAACGTTGAAATGAGTTACTGACTTTTTGAGCAAGACATAGATTAGACCGACAGCCATGATTATGAAGTTTTGAAATCTACCAATTATCATCCACGTACTTTCTTCTTCAGTAATTTCCGGTCCTCCACTTCATCTTATTCGCTAATTTGATTTTGGTCTACGTGTTTAATCGTATGCACTCATTTTACGTGCGTTTTTTAGTGGTTTTAATACAACGGTTTTACTGATTTTAATCCTAAATCATTCGTTTTACGTGCGGTTTTTAGTGATTGCTACTGACAATCAATAGGAACCACTAGTAACATTTTTATTTTTATTTTTGCTAATCAACTATTAACATTTCTCACTATTTCTCATTATGATTAGGTGTGTGTGGGTGAACAAGATATATATATATATATATATATATATATATATATATATATATATATATATATATATATATATATATATATATATATATATATATATATATATATATATGTAAAAGGAATGGTTGTTGGATATGGTTTTGTCCTTAAATGTCAAAGTTCGACAACAAGTTTATATTTAGAATACGATCAAACAAAACAATTATACCAGACTATTTACAAAATGTTGGGGTAAAAAAAAACGCATTTAATATGTAAATTTATGAATGTAGTACTTATAAGTCTGAACTTTTTGTCTGGTATTAATTACTACAAATAAGCACATTAGGATGCCTTAATCATTTGAAATTAAACAAAACAAAAATTGGTATTGATAATGATAGCATACAACCCATTCTTATTGTTAAGTGGAGTGGGTCCAAGCTTTTAATCATACACAAACCATTGATAGTGGGCCCAAACTTTTGATATAACCGTTCCAGCTTAATTAAAAATGAGTTTTACAAGAGCCACTTTGGAATCTTACTTATAAAAGATCCAAGCGAACCTCCTTACTTTTTTTTTTTTTTTTTCTTGTATATGAATCTTGCACGAATGTACATTTAACTTTTCCAGTAAGTATCGACTTCAGTGGTGTTTGCATAAAACTTATATGTCAATTTATGGGTATGATTTGGTAGTGTAATTTTAATAGCTTTTAATTTTTAGATCTGAAAGAAAAATTTTGAATTAAAGGAAAAAGTTTTAGGGAGTGTTTGGCAAAAGTAGCTAGTAGCTGGAAGCGAGTAGCGTGTAGTGAGTAGTTGGTATCGGAAAGTTGTAACTTTTATTTGTTATATGAGTGTTTGTCAAAAGTAACTGTTGACGAGAGCATTGTGTAACAGAAAAGGATTGGAGATAAGAAGGAAAGTATTGTAATCCATAAATATTCCTAGGTTTTAGGCTAATTCTTTGTAATGCTGTTGTATTTCCCTTGTATATATTGTATACGCCTGTGAATGGAATGCTAACTGATTCCTTCATCTTAAATTTCTCTTATTCTGATCTGATCCATATTGCTACATGGTATCAGAGCATACCAAACTACACTGAATCTGAAATTCTCGAACTCTGATCTTGAACTTGAACCCGAATCGTACGAATGGCTAATAAGGGAGGCTCACCATCAAACATAAACCCGGTGATTGTCCAGAATGTTCAGGACGCACCGTTTCCGACTGGAATCACCCTCGATGATACGAACTACCCGCTGTGGTCTCAACTCATGGAGATGCGCATCGGGGCTCGCAATAAATCAGGCTACATCACTGGTAAAACACCTAAGCCCACCTCCGGCAATGAAAAAGAACTCGAAACCTGGCTCATTGATAATAATCGAGTCAAAAGCTGGCTAATTGACTCAATGCAACCATCCCTAATCCGGCGTTTTATCAGACTGCAAACGGCGGCGGAGATCTGGGAGGCTGTCGGAAAGACATTCTATGATGGAAGCGACGAGACCCAACTATTCGAACTGAACCGGCGGTCCTTCAATACCCGGCAAAACGGACGTGCATTACCGACTTACTACAATGAATTGGTAAGTATTTTTCAAGAAATTGATACTAGACTTACTGCACAGGAAGAAACAGTGGATGAGACTGTGACTGTGAACAAAACTATAACTCGCCTGCGTGTGCACATTTTTCTAGCTGGACTAGATCCCGATTTTAGCCAAGCTAGAAGTGAAATATTGAGAAAGGATCCACCACTAAGCCTAGAATCCAGTTATGCTTATATCAGAAGAGACTTTAGCCAGAGACAGACTATGGAGGAAAAGAAGGTCGAAGCCGACAGCATGGTTCACCTGGCCTCTCGTAACATACCACAAAAAGGAAAAAATACGACTGGAAAGAAGAATAATTTCTCATGCACCCATTGTGGAGAGGAAGGTCATTCAAAGCAAAGGTGTTATGAGATAATTGGCTATCCGGAGTGGTGGGATTTTACGAAAAAACCAAGGAAGAAACTTAGCCAAGCTGCTGCAGTAAATGCAACTCAACATCCAGATCCTCCAATCGCTGCTCATACCTCCACTCCTGACTCGGGTACGTTTTGTAAAACTCAACAAAAACCGACTAACTGGATTATAGACACTGGTGCCACCGACCACATGGTAAATGATAAGTCCTGTTTAACAACATCATGTAACTCTAAACAAAACATAGTACAAACCGCAAGTGGTGACTCAGAAAAAGTTACATGTGAAGGAACTGTACACATATCGAACTCTATGAATCTTGATTCAGTTCTTGTGGTCCCATCATTATCATCTAATCTTCTATCAGTTAGTCAAATCACTGAAACCTTGAACTGTTATGTAATTTTCTGGCCAACCTACTGTGTGTTTCAGGACATAGTAACACACAAGATACTTGGTTATGGTACTAGGCGAGGGAGGCTGTATTACTTGGAGGACAGTCATGAGAGTCAGGCGTTTCATACTGGAGTAAAGGAAGTAAATAAATCCATGGCGATGTTGTGGCACCGTCGTCTCGGGCATTTGTCTTTTGGTTATTTGAAAAAACTGAAACCAAATTTATTTCTGAATTTAGTTGAAAGTGAATTTAAATGTGATATTTGTGAGTTGGCAAAAAACACAAGGATTTCGTATGTTCCTAGCAATAATAAAGTTTCTACTCCTCTTATTAAAATTCACTCTGATGTTTGGGGACCTGCCACAATCTCTACTCCTAATGGTGCACGTTATTTTGTGACTTTTATTGACGAGTGTACTAGAATGGTGTGGGTTTCGTTACTTAAAACCAAAGGAGAAGTGTTGCTTGCATTTAAAGAGTTACATCAACTAATCAAGACTGAATATAGGATAGATATCCAAATATTACAATCTGATAATGGTGGTGAATACATAAACTATGAGATGGATCGTTTTTGCCAGGAAAATTCTATTAGACAGCAGACCTCTTGTGCCAGGACCCCCCAACAAAATGGCCTAGCTGAGAGAAAAAATAGATAATTATTAGAAATTGTTCGTGCCTCCTTATTCGACATGAATGTACCACGGAAATTTTGGGGAGAAGCAGTCAGGTCTGCTGCATACCTCGCTAATAGAATGCCATCTCGCGTACTTGACTTTGCCACACCTTTACAAAAATTACAAGAGCTTGTCAAACAACCAATTAATCTTGGACTTGAACCAAGAATATTTGGTTGTGCTGCATATGTTCACAAAAACGAAGGTAAACTTGAACCAAGGGCTGTAAGATGCATGTTTATTGGATATGCACACCAAAAAAAGGCTATAGATGTTATGACCCACTCGAAAATAAAACCTATGTATCTCGTGATGTGTCATTTCATGAAAATACTAAGTTTTATGGGGACGAGACTTCACTTCAGGGGGAGAGCGTCGGAGAAGTAAAGTCTCACGATGATGTCTTTGAATTCAACATTGAAGAAAGTAACTTAAGTGACAGTGATGGTCAAACAGGAACCTCATCGGGTGAAGCCCAAAATAGCGAGACACAAATGGAGGCAGAAGTAGCTGGACCAGAAATGGAGGCCGAAGTAGCTGGACCAGAACTAACAAATGAATTGTTTTTTTGATAATAATGTGCAGGAAATCGAAGGTCAGACCCAAGATCATACGCCAGCCCAACAGAACATACCTGGCGCTGATTCTGAAGCCCGCGAGGATGTAATCGGCGTTGAACAGGGGCGACGTTTTCCGATCAGGAGCACACGAGGAATTCCAAAAACACGTTATCAAGCTGACTTAAATGCAAAAACAAAATATCCGATCGGGAACTATGTGTCACACCATCGACTCGCAAAGTCACATGTGGCTACAATCAACGAATTATCCACAGTAGCAATTCCACGAGATATTCACGAAGCACTACAAGATAAGAGGTGGAAGAAAGCCGTAATGGAAGAAATTGAGGCATTAATGAAAAATGGTACGTGGGATTTTGTAGATGTGCCCCAAGATAAAAAATTGGTTGGCTGTAGGTGGATTTTTACGGTCAAACTTGATGCAAATGGGAATATTGATCGATTCAAGGCGAGACTTGTAGC